CAGCTAACTGTGTTTCTGAAACTAATCGGCTGAAATGTCTAATAAAGATTTTATTTTCCACTGTGCCTAAAACGTAGTTTCTGTTTTTTACTCTTATAGCCGTAGTACTTTTATCGAGTAAATTTGTTTTGAAAATGAAAACGTCATTTGTGAACTTATGCCTGCAACTGTGTACAAGTGAGCGTAACCTGTAGCAAACATTGATGAAGACATATACGAGGTTATTATTTAATGAAGACGACAAACAACTTCAGTAAAAATAAATTAATTACTTGTAACTGACGTTTCGGCTTACGCCGTTATCAAGGGTCTATGAACGTCACAGGTTACCAAACTGATTTTAAATTATAATAACCGAAAACAAAATACAGCTGCAACAATATAACGGCAAAGTGTACGTGATACAGGTATAGTCGAACAGTTTCGAGTCGTTGATCATAAAAACAGAGAAAATGATAATAATAACATAAAAATAGGTAATATCATAATGATAAAATTAATAATAATAAAATGTTAAAGAGGCCAGGCATTGCACCTATTAATGGAAGGGCGTCTGGATTGAATCAAAAGTGATTCCTTATATTTTCTATCAAGAAACTTGTCACAAGTTTCTAAAATTTTGAAAAATAGTTATACGCTAATTTGTTGTCGTTACGTGCACTGCACAATATTTTACCAATTATAAACCTAAAAGAACCCACCGAACGATAGACGTAATAGAACATGTTATAACATTATTCTATGTCTAAAAGGAAACCTTTTCTAGTTTATTCTGTGCAAGCACGGTTTTTACTGCCTGACGAAGGGCGTCTGCTGGTACAGAATAAACTAGAAAAAGTTTTTATTCAGACGTGTGAATTTATTCGTTATTATCACTTTTCCAAGTTTTTCTTCTCACGTCTTGCGGAACAACACTCATTCATCAATATTCTAGGGTCATTCCAAAGTGATGTGACGTGAAATATTTTAAAGTTTAAATTTTTCAAAAGACCATTTTGTATAATATAATGTTCTTCGAAGAAGGTGGTAGGTTAATGTTCACTTTCAACTTGCCGGATACTTAAAATCGTGGGACATTATGACAGAAGCCTTATCTTAAACGCCTCCACTTTCAGTTCTTGTTATCTCCTGATCTCCTCACATTCGTTTGACTGTTAGTTCTCTTAGAAGTAGTGGTGAATGTCACGTGAACAGCTTGGGTGTTAGATATTACACGAAATTATCTGGCTAGAAAAATGAGGATTACGTAACAGTTTTCTCATTAACTATGAAAATAATCATCAACGTACTAGGTAATAAAGAACTGGGCCTAATCGTGTTTCATGTTCCGAAGCTTAAAGCTGTCTCCCTCTAGAATTTTACATCACAAAATCATTTTAATTTTTATATTAAGAAAAATTATATTATGCATTATATTGCAATTAACAGTGTGAAACTCTGCATTTAAGATATTTTAGTTTAGGTTTGTTTATTTTTAATTACAAAGTTACAGAATGGGCTATAAGTACTCTGCCCATCGCGAGTATCGAAACTCGGTGCTCAGCGTTACTAGCCCTTAGACTTACCGCTGAGCCAGCATGGTGGTATGGATTGTTTCCAGAAAAAAGAAGAAAGTTGTTAACATCTGCTACACGAGCCAGCCCAGCATCTTTTAGGATAGTCAACAGGGGGGGGGGGGGCATTCCGGAGATTAAGGGTTATTTCGATAGATCTCAAAGAAAGAAGCTCGGCACTGCTTCTAAAACAAAAAAAAAACAACAAAAAACTAAATAATAATGAAAATATGACACGATGAAATCTATATGGATTACACTATGGTGGTACCATACTGGGAATTATACCACCCTTATTATATTTACTCTTCATTGTAGAGATGGCATTATGAACTTGAGAATCGCTAGGGAAATCATCTTGAAATGTATCGTTCATCTACTTCAACTTCAACACTTCATCTTTGGACTTTACTGTGCCGTTAGTTTCACAAAATATTGAAACTAATGATTTCTTATACATGATTCCATGTATAAGAAGATAACGACGCTATTGTGCCTGTTATTTAATGTTTCACTGTTCATTCAGTAATCCATTGACAAATTTCCGATTCAGCTAGTTTGTCAAATCGACTAGGATATTTTCGAAAAGTACTTTCCTCATCCGATCTGGACCCACGGTTTAAGTTAATCGCCACACCTAAACCATCACATTCATAACCACATCTAGAACGTTTCAAACATGTTTCATTGCTACATCGTTTTACTTTACATTTAAAAGTTTACTTCTCCATGTTGGCTCTCACGGTCTCAGGTCGGGTCCAGTGACCTAGACCTCGAAAATAGTGCCAAACGTATTTCTAATCAAAACAACCCAGACCTTTCCTGAATGATTTTTTTTTCATCCACATTAATATGCCGGGCTGGCTCGCGTGACAGGTGTTAATATATCTATTGGATTACAAATACTTCACTAATTATTTAAATACACAAAATAAACGTATTAAAAAACATCCCTCACTTTCTTAAATGATCATGTCCATCACATTTCGACCAGTTACATTTTGAACTACAAACTTACACAATCTGATAACATCGTAGACTCTTGGGTTTGTACTATTTAACATTCAAAAAGATTGTTTATATTACAATATCATATGTACCTTTTTTCTATTTTTCAGGAAATATCAAGTTTCACAGCTGTAAAAGTATAAACCTTTTACTTTTAGCCGTTTTAAATCCAGTGTTAGATATAAAATATGAAAACGATCTTATTCTTTGAATTTTTGTAAATTTAAAACTAAAATTTGTGGCTTTTGAGAGTTACTAACAGAGGCATCGCTAAGTGCTTAAAAAAGATTCGGGGCTCGGGCCCACAGGTGCGGGAATTTTCGGCGTTTCAGTATCATATCGAACATGGTTTTCTATTCTGATTTTTCAAGACAACAATTCCCCGTCCCACCTAACATGCTCGCCCTTTCTGCAGTGGAGGCGTTATAATGCGATGGTCAATCCCATTATTTGTTGGTTAAAGAGTATCCCAAGAGTTGGCGGTGGGTGGTGATGACTAGCTGCCTTACCTCTAGCCTTATACTGCTAAGTTAGGGACGGCTAGCATAGATAGCTCTCGTGTAGCTTTGCACGAAATTCAAAACAAAACAAACCCCGTGGACAATTGGTTGGGAACCGCTGTAGTTGGACATGTAGGCTAAGATTATAGCCTTTACTTAGACGTTTATATTAATGTTTGCGAGAGGTAGTGTTAACTTCAAGTGAGAGATGCTCCCGGTTTCATGACCATTTGAAAAAATCTGCTCAGACCTAGTCGATCATGCATGTTCACAAGTTAATAACAACATCCAAAACTTAATTAAAATCTGTTCAGGCCTAGTCGATCATATGATCACAACTTAATAACAATATTCAAAACCTAATTAAAAGTCTGGACAGGCCTAACAGTTTACGTGTGGTTGGAAGTTAGCAGCAAATCCAAAATTTAATTAAAATCTGCTTAGGCCTAGCCGCTCATGTATGATCCTAAGTTACTTGAGTACTTCTTAAAATGTTACATTCCCCCATAAGATAAGAACAATACATACCGTATTTTTCGGTGTATAAGACGCACTTTTTCCCCCCAAAATGTGATGTCAAAATCTGCTTGCGTCCTATACACCGAAGGCATTGTTGCGTCAGCGAGGTCACGTGACTAGTATCACGCCACGCTTTCTAGAAATATCCTGTTCCTTCAAGAATGCCTTAGCATTTACTAGATATGTGTTAGTCTGGTATATATAAGACGCTCACAACGTGACGCAACAGGGTAATGAGTAATTGAACTGCAGTCAGAGAAAATAGTTAAGCTCGTGAGAAGTTCGTTGAGAATTATAGCGCGACTGTTGAAATTAAGTGTATCGCAAAGTTTTTATTCAGAAAGAATAAACCAGTTTTATGTAAGAAAGGACTCGTGTCGCTAAAGTTTCGTCGGAACGAAGTTACGGAAAAATTAACTAACGAACGGAGACGTAACAGTATGAATAATATATATGTATATATACGATATACACAAGCCATGTGTAAAT